TTTCTTTCTTTTTTTTTTTCTTTCTTTCTTTCTTTCTCTCTTTCAGTGCTGGGGATCGAACTCACGACCTCACACTTGCCAGGCAGGCGCTTATGCTGCTGAGCTAAATCCCTGGGCCTTATTTTTTATTTTATAGTACTACAGGTTGAGCCTTTAGATTGATATCTCTAGCATTTTACATCTCTAGCATTTTAAGACATAGTCTTGCTAAGGTGTGTAGTGTGACCATTAATTTTCACATAAAGAATCTAAAATAAGAACTGCCTAGCAGATTAGTAAAACACAGTTCTGTATATGTCTATGGATGATTGACGTTAGGCCAACAGACTGAGATGGGAAGATCCACCCAAAATATCACTGTCACCAACCAAAGACTTGTAGCCTGGATAAAATAAAATAGTGAAAAAAGAAGTGTTCCCTAATGTTGGAAGGGCTTCCATTTTTGCTATCATCTTCAAATGCTGATCTCCAGTGTCATGACTGCCAAGTAGAGTCACAGTGGTGACTCTACAGTGACCACACAGACCTTTGAATGTAGTGTGACAACATATTTTATCTCCCTTGTTCCAAAGCTGTTCTTCTTGAGCTGAACAGCTGCAAGATCATTCATCTCTCCAGTGCAGACAGCCACTGTAGACTCTCTTGCCTCTGACCCTTTAAGCCTACCTAACAAATTCCTTGCATAGTTTTACATATATTTTCTATTGATTTTGTTCCTCTGGTAAACCTTGACATATACCTAGGCTTGGGATCCTCCTCCCTCAGTCTCCCTGAGTGCTTGGATTATAGGTGTGTGCTATCATTTTCAACTAGTAAAATATTATTTCTAAGGTAGAGAGAATTAAAAAATTTTTTTAGATTTAAATTCTCTGTGGGAAATCTCTCATATTTTGTCTTTTTTCCTATTTTAATTAAAATTAATCATATTTAAAATAAAAGGCTTTTCTTATAATTGCAGTATTAGACTCATCTATGAGTCTTCTATTATTTTTAGCCTACCAATACATATTTTTGTATTTTCATGTTTTCAATAATTTGTTATTGTGTATGAAATTTTAGAGGTTTCAGGTAGTTTTTTCCACCAGTGACAGTTTTCTTCCTTTTGCACGAAAGGGCAAGAGGCTAGTCAATCCCAGTCAAGCCTTGTGCTGTGTTGAGTTGGGCCAGAGAGATGATAAGATTCAGCTCACCTTTAGTTTATCCTTACTGCTTATGATTGTTTTCTGTGGACTTTTGGTTCATATCCTGAACATTCTCTTTATTCTCAGCCTTGATATTCTAATTTTTCAGGTTGTAAAATTGCAGGTTCAAAATCTGGCAAATGTCTTGAGACAGATACCTATTGAGCGTTTACTGCAGGGTCCTGCTTCTTGTGGGACTTTGTCCCTGAAGCTCTGCAAGATTATTGAAAGTTTCACTCAGCCTTTATTGTTCAGCCCCTCTAATTGCTGGTAACATTCTAGAACTCAGCACATGTCCTATGGGGAAATCTAATCAACATGTATCTCTTATTTTATCTTTCCAGTGTTACATTACTACAAAAAGCTCTTTTCCCCAGCAGTACTTCTGAATGTAAATGTTAATCCTGATGTCATCAGTTTTTATTGGATTAAGCAACATCTAGGAGATTGGTAAGTATGCTCCTGGGTGTGTCCAAATGAATCATGAAGACGTGACTTTGGGTAGTGTGTATGTCTCTTTGTCCAATCTTCTCTGCACTATTCTCCTCTGCCCCCCAGCCTCTATGAACTAAGCAGCTTTGCTCCACCACAGACTTCTGTCCTGATGTTCCTACCTGAGAGACAGCTGGCTGTGGACTGGATTCTCCCAAACCATGAGCTAAGCTAAAGCTTTCCTCCATTAAATTGTGAGTGTCTGGTGAGTGCCTAGCAACAGGAAAACTGACAAATATACTGAGCTTCCATATGTCCATCTATATATGTATCAGTCAATCACTTACTGTATGTATGGGTGTAAACATTTTTAACTTTTATTCTGTTCTTTATCTTCTTAATATTTGCTATTTGACTGTCAGCCTTAAATGGCACTTTTGACTTAAAGCTATTATCTATACAGTCACAGCTTCATTTTGCTTTTGTTCCTCCCTCCCTTTTCCTATCACTTCTTTATTTGCATTTTTAAAAAAGTTGGTAGAACTGTGTTGTTTGCTTTGTTTTGTTTTTTGAGAATCCATCTCACTCTGTCATTCAGACTGGCTTTAAACCTTTGAGCTCAAGTGATCCTCCTGTTTCAGCCTCCCAAGTAGCTAGGACCGCAAGAGCATGCCACTCTAACCAGGTTTACATTCTTTTACACATGTCCCCATCATCATTTTAGTCTTAGCTCTATCATTAATGCTCATTATATTGTAAAATTTCTCAGTCACATATTGTTTAGATTAAGTTAATATTCTAATTGGTTTTCCAATAAGAAAGTGTGAATACAGTACTTCCTTGGTTAGAGAATGTTCAAAACTGTGTTTCTTAGCTCTGTCACTTGACGTACAGCCTGGCTGCATATAGAAGTAATAATTTAGTAATATTTTTAAAATGATGCTCCATTGTTGCCTTAATTTTTGCATTGCTTATAAAATATGAGGTCATCCAAACAGCTTTATCTTCATAAATAAACCGATTATTTTGCCTAGTGCATTTAATATTTTACTTTTTCCTTATAATTTTACTAGGGCAAGTCTCAGTGTTGATTATCCTCAGTTAAATTTTCAAATTTTCTCTCACCAATATGTTTCTTAGATTTTATTTTTATACATTAATACTGTTCCATTTGTTTTTCTTCCCCAATCTTCTCCTTTCTTCCCTTCACACTCTCTATCTTCCTTCTTCTTTTGAAATGTGCACTAGACTTTGTCTTCCTGTGATCAATTCCTAGTACTTTCTTCCTGAATTTTTGCATTTTCCAATCATTTTAATTCATCTTATTGCTTCTTTTCTTCATTTATCTTCATTAAATTTCAATTTGATATTTCTGGCATGGACAGTGATAATTTGTTCATTTCTGAGATATTTTCTTCAAGTTTTTTTCTTGATTTGGTTAGTTAGTATTCCTTCTTAGGTTTTGTCCATTTGTATTTTTAGGTTTTGAATTTCCGATTCTAAATTTGACACACACATACACACACATACAATCTCCCACATGTAGGTTGAGGTAAGACATTTTATTATGTAAATGTTAAAATTTACCCTTTCGCTTTCCTCTGAAAGTAGTTTTCTATTGTGTTGGTTTTTTGAAAAGATGTATTTTACTTTTATAGTTTCTAGGTGAACAATATTTTCTTTAATATAATCAGTGTAATTCCTTCAATAGATAATATTTTTGGTGACAGTACTGGTGTACATATGAGAGTGAAGTAGGGTGGCTGGCATGACTTGATTTTCTTTCTTTAGGATCTTTAATCCCCTTTCTTCTTTCTTTTTATTGCCATGTGTTTTGGGGGCACTCTCTCTTGCCAATGTAGCCGAATCACCTCTGGAAGCAATTCTTATCTAAAGCTTTCACCTCTCGTCTAATTTTCAAGTCATTTTCCTAAAACTAATGTTGTAACCAACTAACATTCACGTGTATTGGCACTTACCACTTGACATATTCTTTGGGGACTGGATTTGCCTCTGCTCTGTATATATCACTCAATTCTTTTCTTTTTCAAAGTTGATTTGAAACCTTGTATCCCCACTCACTACACTCATATTATTTCAGTAATGAAGGATGCTTTTGTTGACATTAGCACTTACCAATTTTCTGGTAATTTGATGTGTGTGGTACGCTATGTTTCCTAGTATTGCTAAAACTATAGGTCATGTGTAGCTTTATTTGCACTCTTTGTGTATTTTATGGTTTTCTGAAGATACGTAGAGAAATTCTGGTTCTGTCAGATCCTCTGGACCCAAATATAACTTAACTCTTTTAAAAAGAGATTTATCTGCTAATAAACACCTCCAATTTGTTCATTTCCATGCTGCTTTATAGTGTATTACTTACATAAATTTACTTTATTACAAAATGATACAAAGAACATATAAATATGTTGTTTACACCCGCATGTGTTTCTATAGGGTAATGTATCAGTTTGTTTTGTGTTGCTATAATAAAATACTTGAGGATAAGCCATTTAAAATAAAAATAGGTTTATTTGGTGCACAGTTTTGAAGATTCAAGAATACGGTGCTGGCGGCATCTGCTCAGGTCTGGTGAGGGAGGTAACATCAAAATGGTGAGAGGGTGTGGCAAAGGGGGTGAGAAGTCATTTGGAATTTAATTTTTCTGTGTAATATAATAATTTATTTTTCACTTGCAGTTAGTCAATTGCTTCTGTATTACAAGTTCATATTTAAAAAGATTCTTTGTTTACATTATTGCACTCATAATCAGGTGAGTAATTTTACAATATTCCTCACCACATTTGGGGGGCTTAACACCTCCTTCAACAGTATGATATTTTTTGTGAAACCAGGCTTCTTATTGCATTAACTTTTCCTGAAATATGATTAAAGTTTGCTCTTGTTCTTGCCTTTCTTTCCTTAGTAAATTATAAAACTCATGTGAAAAAAAAAAGACATTATCCAACTCATTTTTTATGCTCAGTACTTGGCACTGACAGAATAGGGTTTCAAATACTACTCAGTTTTAACCTGAATTTTGATCTTAAGAGATAGGAATTTTCATCTAGTACAAACTACACATTCTTTTAGAAAACCTAAAAATACGTTTCATGATTAGGAACCAAAGTAATCATTTCTGTCCTTGTTTGTAGGACAATTCCTAGCTACCTGTGGTTAGCATTACTACTGAAGGTTATCAGGACCCGGCATCGCTGTGGGGCTAGCCTGCACTTGCCCTTTGCAACAGATGTCAGGAGTCTGCCCCTCTTCGACCCAGTTCTGAGGTGCCGCGATGCAACTGCGAATGCGTTCCTATTCATGGTTCTCCCCTCTTCACATCCTCCAGATACAATCCCAACACAAACAGCAAGATTTGGGAATTACCTGTGAGGTCCTCACGCTGTCCTTACACCGAATGCTGGCTGGCAGTCACCCTTCCCAGAGACAGGGACTAACTTTTCCTCAGCGAAGTTTTCAGATGCTCTACACTCTCCAGCGTCCCTGTGGCCTGCTCACCAGTCAGCAAGGACCCCAGAGCTCGCCCCTCTCGCATCTGGCCTGGCTGCCCCAGCTTTGTTCCACTGACTTACGGCCATAGCGACATAACAGTTGAAAGGGAAGACTCGGAGGACTCTACGACCCCCAGAACCGCCTCAGATACAGTGGCATAGGCTCAGAAGGGGTCTTGGGGAGGACGGGCGGGGTGGTGGGAGACTGTGGGCGGGTGAGGAGGCCAGGCGCCGGCGCACTTCATGGTCGTCTCGCCTCGTCCCGCCCCTGAACTGGACCGCGTTTCCCATTGGCCCGCTCGGAGTGGCACTGCCCCTGTCCCGCCCCCGAGACTCAGCGGCCGGAAGTTATCTAGACATCGGAACCTGCCGCCGCGCTGCAGTGTCTTTGAACCTCCAGCGGGAGAAGCCTTGCGAGATGAGGATCCTGGGCAGACTGTTGTGCGTGTTGGGCTTGCTCATCTTTGGGGCGCCGAGCCTTGGGCTGCCCAGTCGCGGCAAACCTATCAACGAGAAACCTATCATTGGTAAGAAGGCCGTGAGGGACCGCAGCTGTGTGGACAGCTGGGGTCATCGCTGGACGTCTGAGAGCCCTGAGCCATCCAGACAGGTTTATGGCCCTTCGTTTCAAGTACAGATGAGAACCCTAGCAGATACCTTTTGAATCACGCTGAAATGTAGCTTACGTCTCTGGTTGTCTTGGGACTTTATGCCCTGGCTTTTAGAGTTGGAAGGAAGGAAGATGCACTGTAAGGACTTAACACTGGTTTTCTTCTCTGTGCATAGCTAGGCATTTCCACTGAAAGAAAAAACGTTTTTTCACGTAGCTAGAAATTTCTACTAGTTTACGTAAATCCGTGTATATATTTACATCACCTTCCTTTGTTGAGGATGTATTAAGATACAATGCATTATACATAAAAATGGAATATATTAGATAATCCAGAAATTGACCTGTACTGTATCTTGGACGTTGTCCTCTTCAGCAGCAGCAGTGACTAGTGTAGCCATAATATCAATTCTGTCTAATGTTAGTGTGAACCGTGATTTTTTTGCTTTTCTCACATTTATATTTTGAAAAGAATATAAAATCAGTTTGCATTAACAGAACAGACAGTTAAGACAGGGCTTAGAAACCTGCGTAGGAAAAATAATCCTGGGATCAAAATTTGCCTAGAGAAATTTCTACGTGGACAGTCTTGGTTTTATCTCATCCTGTAATAATCCTAGGATTATTCCATTCATACTATTTTTCCCCTCATGAAATTGAACACTGTATTCTGTAACTAAACAGAAACTAGATGAGCATTTTTCATATGTCTAGGTTGTATCCAGTTTTCAAATGGGTTGCACACTAATTTTGGAACCTAAAATGTCTTAATTCCATAGGTGTTAATGATTATGTTCTTCAGGGAGAATCATGCAATTATATGTGCTGAATTGCAATTTATATGTCCAGGGAAGGGAAAAAAGGAAAAAAGATACTTTTATTTCTCTTAGAATTGGGGTACTTCTAAGTCCAATATAGGGAAGGGGACTCTGGTTTTGGTCACCATAATCAATTAAGATAAAATAGTAGGACAAACATCAGTATATGAAAGCATTACTGTAGGGAGTATGTAAAAATCACAGGCAAGGAAACCACAAAGTTTCCTTACATACATGGAAGTATGTATGGAATCTGGCCAGATGTTAATGGACAGGAAGTATAGCCTGAGCTTTTTGCCAGGGATAGAAAAAGTAATTATGGAACTTTGGTGGTGGAGTGGAGGAAAATGTGCCATTTAATGTGATTTTCTGTTTCCTGCACTTTGTGTTCCCATGATGCCCTACCCACTCCTCTGTGGTACCTCTTCTGCCTGCCCTGTACCACTCCATTTCTTATAGCATTCTTCTCCAATTCTTCCTTCCATCAACAAATTTCATATGCCTTAGTGAAAATGATCTTACTTTTGGGCAAGGAGAAAAATAGCTTACTGAAGATATTTTTTGACATTTGGCATATGTTAACTAAGTACTTGGTACACACCAGTTATTATAAGAAACTGAAAATTCAGATGTGATAGATGACAGGCTTTTCCTTTCAGGTGGCCTATATGGAAATACTCAAAATGCACCAATGAAATAAGATAGGTGCTCATTTGGCAGACTTGTTTTGTTGTTCTGGTGATTAAACCTGGTGCTTCACACATTCATGATCTATTTTGATATACACTGGATGCTAACCCTATGCTGCATCCACCTGGGATTTCTTTGGTAAGAGGAAACAAGAGAGGTGGGTGAGTGTAGAGAAAAGGGTTTTTACAAAGTTTATTAAAGTTCAATAAACCACTGAGTTGTTAAGCAAGGTGATGATCTGCTGATCTGTATCTTTTCCTATTGCTTTTTCCCTTCCTCACCTGGCTCTTGTCAAGGGGATTCCTTAAAGTATGAAGGGTTTCTCATGAATTTTGCATCTGAATTTCACTCATTCTGGATTGCTAGCTTCCCAGAAATCTGCATGTGACTTACTTCCTGCTGAAGTTCTGCCTCAAATGCCATCTTAGACTCTTTCACAGAAGGCTTAATTAGTATTGCATAAATTTCCTGAAGAGGTATAAAAGAAGCATTTGCCTCTGAACTGAAAGAAGCAGACAGACCAAAGAACTATTTGGACAAGTCTGATTTGGAGAGTTACTTACAGAGCAGTGGATACTACCAAATTTTCCCACCTTGCTGTGCTAGGCTGTTGGTTTTATAGGACACTGATTAAAATAACAAAAGCAGAATGAAGAGCAAGAAGGATTCTTGAGAAAAGTTGTGTATGCTCCACTCTCGTTTCATCCTTATCAGGAAACTCTGCCAGTCTCATTAAGCGCTCTAGCCACAGTAATGATGACCTTGTTATGTTGCAGTCTGCCCCGTAGCCTTCCTCCTGGCATTGTGCAGGGTGTATCTGGGAACCAATTGAACAGCTAGACTAGGAGGGGTGCACCACAAGATAGTTACTTTGGTGAGGATGGAGGGATATAACTGTTCCTCCATTTCACCCTTTCTCCAACTCTTAAAATATATAGTATTCCATGAACCTTAGAAGACATGTCTCATTTGAGAGCTGAGCACTAGGTTGTAGTGTCCCAGGAGCAATACAGACTGTAGCAATAGATGTTCACTTCTAGAATAACACATTTGAGGGTGTATGTCCCCAATAAAATGTGTAAGGCTCCTTTTTAAGGGTCCCATAAAGTTATTCCAGTTATAGGCAGAAAAGGGCAGCATATTTCAGGGCATGCCTACTTTACTGGCGAAAAGTTCACCACAGTTGTTGGATTTATTGTGAGTTTCCACCCATGGTCACTGTTCACTGGAAGTCTTCTGACTGTAGGCAGTAACAGCAGTTATCTTTGAGTGTAGATACAGAGGTTTAGAGGGCAGTTTTACGGGCACATCATATGTACTTGACAGAACAACAGTGCTTTTTCCTTGGGACCTTTGACTTCCTCAAGCACAAGGTCTTTGTCCTAGTTTGCACTATCACATGTAGGTCTCCTCCTTTGGAACAGATTTAAGGTTTAATCAGTAAGTGATTGGATATGCCCAGACCAGTCATTTCACTGTGGCACTGGTAGCCACATCCTGCCCATCATGTAGTGTGTCATGTGACAGTGATGGTGAACCTATGGGACACATGCTGCAGCAGACACACACAATCCCCTCTGTCGTAACATGAGCCACGTTGCCTCAGCAACTGAGCACTGGTTACTCAGGTTTAGTAGCAGTGTTGGCATTTTGTGGTAAATACATGGATTTTGATTTGCAGTTTGAGCACTTGGTCTTTAAAAGATTCATCATCACTGCATCTGACTACCAAAGCTGAGCAGGACTTTTGGAGATATTTCACAGGCAGCTTGCACTTAGTATGTTTTGACTCTAGGGGTGTTAGCCAGTAGAGAGGATAGTCCCAGCTTAGTCTCAGTTTATGACTTCTGGAAGTACTTTTATTTAAACCTTTAACTATTATCTTAACACATTTTGTTTTTTAAAATCAAACCAGCTCTTTTGGGATTGTAAGGCTGGTAAAAAGTGTCATTGCCCTTGATTTTTCTTAGCTCAGTTTTGCACAACAGCATCCTGAAATGGATTTCCCTGCCACTGTCAATTCTCCATGGTCCCCTGAACTGAGTAAAGCTTCTGATTAATTGCCCCTAGTGGCCCATTTACAGGGGAATGTTTCCAAGAGGACTTGTCAATATTCACAGATATAAGTGCTTATTTACAACTTTCACTTCCAGGCATGGGCCCAGTGTAATCCACCTGCCAACCTGGACATGTTGACTTGTGCTTATAACCTCGTGCATGTCAGCCGATTGACTTGTGCACCTATTCAGCTAGTACATTTATCCTTTGAGGCTGTAGCCAAGAACAGACCTTACATGCCTGTACAGCATATCAAGGGTCAGAATAGTTTGTGGGAATGCCTGTAGCCTTTGCTATTCTCTAGCCCATGTTGGCCCTGGTGTGCCCAGACTTTACATACATCCGATAGAGGACTTCTCCAGCTATCTGGTGACACGTACTATACTCAAATCTTTGTGAGGGTATTTTTCTAAGTTACTGTTCTCTCATTGCTGGGACAAAATACCCAACAGAATACCCAGGGTTAAAGAGGGAAAGGTTTATTTTAGCTCCCAGTTCATAACGGTTTCAGTGCATTATTGGCTGACTCCAAGGCAGGGTGGCAAGGCAGACAGGCATTGCAGAGGAGAAACAGTTTGTGGCAGGCAGAAGATAGTGAAGCACACAAGAGGGATGACCACAACTCTTTCTACTCATTATATCTTATCCAAGGTACTTAGATAGGTTGCACTCTCACCCTTAATTCTAGTGCCCTTGAGCCTAACGTTGAACCACAAATTAGTCCCAGCATCACACACTGTAGATCCAGCTGTCTCTGAAAAAGCCCCACCTATGATTTCATGAGGCTTTGGGGGGACATTGAGACACAAGCTGTACTATCCTGCTGATTTCCCAGGATACTTAACAGACTGGTGGGCAGCTATATGGAAGACAGTGGTTCTAATTTATTTTGTATATTTTCATACATCTCCTTCCATATCTTTTATCCCTGTAATTCCTGCCAAGCTCTCACCAGTCCTAGAGTCAGTCCTTTAATATCTGCCCACTTGTCTGTACAGTGGTCATTTCTCTAGTATCATCAGCATCCATACTGCTCTGAGCTCAGCCTGTTTTTCCTTTATCCACTATCTGACCAAATGATATTTATATTTATATGCATTGCTATTGCCATGCAGTCCTGCTATGTGCCCAACTAGTGCCAATGGTGTACCAAACATCTTCAGGAATGGGTGGTGTTCTTCTATTATTGGGTTTTAGGGTGCTGAAGTCCCCTAGAGGTGGTTTCAGGATTCTTTCAGCAAAGAATTGGTCAAGATGAGCACAAAAAGTAGTGTTTTATGTTTAATTAAAGGGAGGAAAAGAAACATGGTGTGCAGAGCAAGTTTGAACCAACTAAAAGTAGGAAAATAAGTATACTTTATAGGGCAAGAGCAGACCACTGGGCAAGAGAGAATACAGTGATTCAGTGCTAAATGATGACTTTGTACCTCTCACTCCTCAGGCTGGTGTCAGCTCTAAGTTGTCTTATCGAAAACTTGGTCCAGTTCTTGTGAGAAAAATTGAAGACATTACTCTGATTGATGCCACATGCAGGGCTTTGGGAACTTTATTCATGCATGTACTGACACTTTGTAATAACAGGTTATGCCAACTTTGCCAGTTTGCCATGTTGTAATCTCCTGTCTCATCATGCAGTACCTTATCTGCCTTAGCTGTTGGTTCAATCACTGGGGATGATTTAGAAGTTTGGAAAGACACTGGCCCTAGTACAGCCTACGTGGTATTTGTCACAGGGCTAACAAATAGAACTCTGCACTGCTGCAAGTATGCATGCCACTTTTGCAGTCTAATTTTGGGTTACGCCAGAATTAGGATTGCCCAAAAGTCTTACAGTCCAGCCTTTTACTGAATATATTCTTTTACTGTCACTGAAACCAATATAGTGATGGGTTCCACCTGGTGCACAACTTTATAAACAGCCAACAACTGTTGTTGAAGTGCTGTATTTGAGGCCCTTTTCCATGAGTGGGACCAGAACCGTATTAGAATTCTTTTGATTGTTTCTGTCTACCTGCCCATGGTAGCCCTCATGGTTCCTAGTAACCTCTAGAACAAATGCACAACTGTTTGTAAGACACAGAGAGGTTAGCGTGTTGTCATCTATATAGTGAAACATTTTCATAGTATGTGGGCAGAATAATAAGTCGAGGTCATGGGCTGCTGTCCCATGACAAATGGTGGTGCTGTTCAAGTAACCAGGAAGGATGATTTAAAAGGTCCATTGCTGTCCATTCTAGGTGAATATAAACTAGTCCAGCAGCTAAGGGGTTACTAAAGAAAGTGTTAGCAAGATTCAAAACAGCACTGCACAGCATTATGGCTGAGGGTACACACTGTCTATCTGTAATCCACAGTCACTCTCCATGAGCTGTCTAGCTTTTTTTTTTTTTTAAATCAGCCGTACCAAACTGCTCTTAAGTACTATGGACTGGGCATGACAATTGATTTATGTCCCTATGTTAGTCTGTCCTGTTTAGTATTAACTATCTGTGTGAGGCAAACAGTTTTATGGGCTCCCATTTGCCCAGCCTTCTATCAATGTCTTTATAGCCCATACTCCCGGGCAAAGATTTTCTGTTGTGTTGTGTAAGGTGTTACCCCAATGCCAAGTCTATGCCAACTATGTTCTCTTGCAAGTGGGAGATATAAATAGTGTATTTCTCGGTTAGTTGACCACCCCTAGTGTAAGTGTAGTTTTCTACACTTTTACTGTTACATCCATGCTCATTACTCTTTTTTTTTTTTTTTTTTTTTAATTAACGTCTCCCTCTCTATAGTACTTACTGGTTCCCCTTTGAAGAAAAAACAAAATCAAAAAAACCCAAACCAAACCAAACAAACCAAAAGACCCTGTGGCCACTTGGATTTCAAAATGTTCCTGATATTTTTTTTTTCTTTCTTTTTTTAAATTTCTTCATTCTTTGGTCTAAAAGTTAACTCACAGATGTTTATATTCCTAATCAGGTTTCAAGTCTAGGGTTATATGACTTTGAATGAAAGAACTATGTTAAACAAAAAGCAAAAAGAAGTGAAAGTACCCTGTAATTGCAATTTAAGAGCTACCCCAAAGCTATTCGCAGGAAATATTTTACACATGCGGATTAGACAAAAATATCTAGTTAAATTGGAATCCAAAAGTGAATGTACTAATTAGCCAAGATGTGCCTCAGTGGATTCTTGTTAACTCTTCACAGGTTTCCAAGAGGGCTTGGTCCCCCCTCTCTTCGCATCTTGTAACTGGAACCAGCCTCAGGCTTAGACCTAGTTCAGGCTGCAGGTGGCCTGAGAGCTGTTTCTCCCACTTGACGCCCAGCTTTGCAGCCTGATCTGTACCCCTTACTAGCTTGGATTGCATTTCAGGTTGAGCTCAGTCCAGGGACCCAGGCCCTTCATCATCTCCACTTTCCCACTTGTGTTTTCTTCCAACTGGCAAATGAACAGTTTGTGCCCGTTCTCTCCCTCCTATACTTGCATGGAGCTCAGCCTCTGCTTCTGCTGCTGCCACGAGGAGGAACTACCTAAAGGCTACTGTGATTATTGCACTTATAGGGCATCACGTTTTGGTTCCAAAATTGTGATTAAATGCGCTTTTAGGGCATCACATTTTGGTTCCAAATACCTTGAGTAGTCATCACTCCTCATGTAGGGATAGATGGCTGTTACAAGATCTCTCTCTCGACAGTTTTGTCAGCCTCAGTAGCATATCTTCCTGCTCCCAAGAGTGGCCACACCACAGTGGATACAGCTCTCCTGTAGTATGGTCCCATATAGATTGCCTTTGAGCATTACAGAATACTCTCTAGTCCTTTAGAATTTTTTCAGGGCATCCCCATGCACACGCAGTAGACCATGCTCATGTGGGAGGTTTGTCTCCCCTTACTACATGGAGGAGGGCAGCTACCCTGGGAACTTCCTATGGGCAGCAACTCATATCATAGTAACATGTCTTATCACCTATGGGAGGGGCAGGGCACAGCAGCTACAACTGTCCTGCAGTCTCATCCCATGTAGAGTGCCTTTATGGGTTACAGGATGTATCTAACCCATTAGGCATTTTGAGGGCAGCCCCCTACTCACACAGAGAATCGTAATGGTCGAGAGGCACATCACCGCTTACCACCTGGAAAAAGATGGCTACCCTGGGAAGTTTCCCAAACATGTTCTTCCCTAACTCATTTTTGTGTTTGTCTGGTTCCCTTTTGGGAGCCACATGAAATGTGAGCCTCCAAACAGAGGGGTCGACAGACCAAAGAACAACTCAAACAAGTCCAGTGTGGTGAGTAACTGAGTGTATTAGGTTCATTGAACAGCTAGATCAGGAGGGATGCACCACAAGATGGAGTTAATTTGGGTGGTGTTCAGAGGACAATTTCCACGACAGTTGGCTACCCAATTGAAGAGATTATAAATAGACACCCCTGTTTTGCTTTACTTATTCTGTTTAGCACTTACTAGCAGTCATCCCCCTGTGTATTGTACCTTTTCATGTATGTTGTTTGCCTTCCTTCGTCTCTGGCTCCCTTGGGCTACAATTACAGCTTTTGGGGCAGGGCTTTTAAAGTTTTCCTCATTTATGTGTCCCCAAAACTTAGTTCAGTGCTTGGCATGTAGTATAATTCAACAATATTGAATGAATGAAGGAGCTTTACTCCCATGTGGAATTAGACTGGAGTTAAAGATTTCCTCAAGAAAGGATATGAATCTTTTCAGAATCTGGGATGAGGTTGGCAAAATTCTGATTCCTTCAGTTAAGGTGGTGTTGGAGAGATGCTAATGGGAGATGTTTTTACTGTTTTGTTTCGTTTACAGGGAAACAGTTGTATCTTTGAGTTGTGCGGGAAAGGAGTAGCCATGCTGTTGATTTAGTCACGCTGTGCTTTGAAATGGACTTTTGGTCTCAGGTTGAAAAAAGCTGTGCTGTTGTAAATCTACTTTGAGAGCAAGGTTCCCCCGACTGTGAGAAAGAGGCTGCCTAAAGGTCCCGGCAGCCTTTTCTACTCCTTTCCCAAAGTCTGCAGGGGGAATTGAGGAAATACTATTTAATTCTGTCAGTTCACTGTGATGTGTTTCAGTTTATGAGCAATAAATAAAGGAATTTTCTTAAAACCACAACTTTGTTTTTTAATTTAGGGGTATTAATGCAAAAAATCAATAATGAAGAAATGAAAAAATTGGGACAATACTATATCGCTGCATCATATGTGAAGTATCTAGAGTCTGCTGGAGCGAGAGTTGTACCAATAAGGTAAGTTTCACTGTTTTTTTTTACATTATCTATAAACATTTCTGTGTTTGATCTCTTTTGTATATCATTTAAATATATCTTCTCTATCATGTTCATGATTTTTGCCACACAAACTTAGTATTTGTAGTCTCTCATTGAATTAATGTATGAAGCTGTGTATATCTCTCATGTTATTAGAGTATAGTGGATATATAGCACATAGAATAAAATGATAATTTCTCTTAAAGCAGAGGTGATAGAATAATGAAGTAACAGAATCTACGACCTAACTAACTGTATTTCGTATTAGAATAAGGGAACACTTAAGGAATAAAAGAGACTTCTAAGAAGATAACTATTAAAATATCTTATTACTGTTATTTGAAAATTCTGTAAATAACTAATGTAGTAGTTTTGCTTCTGCGTAATTTACAGATATTGTAGTTTTTAAAAAAAAACCTTATTTTTGTGGTAAGATGGCCCGGTAAAAATAAAATAATTCACGTGTAAGTAGCTCAGTGGTAGAGTGCTTGTATAGCACTTGAAAGGCCCTATGTTCAATCCCTAGTACTACAAAAAGAGATTAAGTCTAGTATGATTATTGGACTTGGTTCTTTGGCCTATGCCCAAACTTCTGATGACCTAGGCAAGTTAGGAGACTATATTACTTCAGTTTTTCGATCTGTATCTCCCATGGAAAAATATTACTCCTTTCCCCATGGAACCAAGGGACTTTACACCGAGCTATATCACAAACTTTATTTTTGGTGCGTGTGTGTGTGTGTGTGTGTGTGTGTGTGTGTGTGTGAGAGAGAGAGAGAGAGAGAGAGAGAGAGAGAGAGAGAGAGAGAGAGAAATGAATATCTCATAAGTTGCTAAGACTGAGCTTGAATTAGCAGTCTCCCACCTTGGCCCCCCAGAGTGCCGGGCTTACTGGCATGCACCATCAAACTCTATTGATTATTCTCATTTTTATTTTTAAAAAGAATTGTGTTAAAACTGAGTTTGACAGGGCTTGTGTGTGTGTGTGTTTGTGTGTGTGTGTGTGTGTTTAAATACCCTAACTTCTTTGAAATCCTTGGGCTGCCCCTTGTGTGTGTAGACTGAGACTTGGCAGTGATTAGGTCCTGAGATTGACCTTGTTAGTTGTTGACAGTGTGGTATTGGAATGAGAGGTATGGCTATCTTTTTCCCAGGATGGAGACAACTATATATTGAAATCTCTCTGGCTACAGCTAAGGCTAATCTCTGGCAACCTAGGATAAGCCCTGGGTTTTTCTGCTATTACCTGTATCATTTTTCCAAAATGAAAAATAATGATATAATTTATTTAAATACAATAAAGGAATACAGTGGTTAATCTCATATCTTCATTTGGAAGAAGTGGAATATATCTCATTTTCATTTGGAAAGAGCTAACAAAATCTTACTAAGTGTGTTATCAGATCAAATTACTGTATTTTAGAATCTCCTAGAATCCCCATCTAATGCATTATGTATGGACAGGCATTTTACCTCTCAATCCCCTACCAAAGGAAGAAGACTGCCTGCCAACTTATTCTGTACTTAAGGTAGTGATCACCACCATGGCACTGTCACCCATTGCTTTGTTGATGACTGTCCAGAGATTTACTAGAAACTTCCCAACAAGACTGCTGGGCTTTCAAGGTTATTTGAATTTAAAGGAGATTTGCTGGCAGAGCGCAGCCCAATTCTAGGCATCATGTCTGTCTGATACTGAGAGAGGTGCTCGGATGCTGCCTCAATCTTTTCCCTGGAGCATAAAGGGGCTGTAGTTGATGTGTGATTGTAAATATTTTTTAGGACATTGAGAGGGAATGCACTGTGTTACTGTCTTACAGAATTAGAAGACTGCTGACCGTCCAAGAGTTCTTCCAAGGATCTCACAACCATGATTTCTCTTTCTTTGTTCTTACTGTTAACTGAACTTTTAGAAGAGCAGATATCTACTGTGACTTAAAGGTTGTCATCAACTGTTATAGGTTAATCCCATTATATTTTCTGTGGAAAAGAGGATACTATAATCAGTATTATGGATATTGTTAAGTAGTTTTCAAGGGCTGTTTGATGAAGGGCTGAATAATTAGGCTAGTTTGCAGTGCTCTGTCTGTAAATCTGCCCTTAGATCTGAACTGCTATGACTTCTGAATACATAGTAGTCCTCAGATTGTGGCAGCTGGTTGGTGGGGATAGGATAAAATAGGAATTTGACATGTATTATGTTTATCTTCCAAAACTGCTTGCAATTAAATGTGAAAATAAACTTCTTTTATTGTCTGTACATAAAACTACTGAGTTTTTATATTTTTTAAAAAGTTCTTAGCTAACAGAAATTAACCGGTACCTAATTCTTGTGGTCTTTAATGTTTGTAATGTATGTTAATACATACATTATAATGTTAAATTTCATTGGACCACAGAAAAACACACTAACCTATCTGATTAGCAAAACAAAGATACAATTATATGACTTTCATGTAGTTTGAAAAAAATTCCTCTAGAAAGATAGAGAGATTAGTGTCACATATTTAAGAATTATTTTTTCGGAGACTGCAGAACATGGCGGACAGACAACAGCAGCTACTGAACGCTCTCTAAAGGCTCGGCTCAGAGGCCAGGAATGATGCGGACTAAGGAGATACGAACCAGTAGAGATATGCTCTGCTGACTCAGGAACGAACTGGGCTGAGAGAATCCAACTTGGAATACAGTCCTGGCGCTAAAATAGGAACAGAAAAATCTCGGTGTGGAGGCTCGACTCCGCGCCATTGGAAACCGCGGTTTGCATTTCCCGCCGCCGCGGTTTGGATTTCCCGCCGCCGTGGTTTGGATTTCCCGCCCCGCCCGGCGGCCGGCTGCCTCCATAGCGGCTCAGCAAGAAGAGACGCGACTGCCGAGCTCTGGGAACGGGAGTCTCCGAACGGAGTCGGAAACGCGACGGACAGGGAGGAAGGCTGACTGGGGGCAAGGTGAGCGAGGAACTGACTCCCTACCACAGTTTGACTCCAGCGGAGGTTTTTTCTGGGCTCGGGCAGTCCTGTAAGAGCAGGGCGCGGTGGCAACTGCAGCCGCACATTTCCCTCTCGGACGGGATTGGTGAAAGGTGCCTGGCCGGAGTGACGCTGCTGGCGGACCCCCTAGGCTGGCCTAGCCCAGATCCCAGAGCCTAACGGTGGCCCGGAGGAGCGACCGACTCCCGCGTAGGCTGCCTCCTCCGCAACTCCCTGGTGCGCAGCGGTGGGCGGGAACACCTAGCCAGCGCAATTTGATCAGGCTGTGGCTGACAGGCAGGGAAGCCGGGCCTCCTGTGTAAGATTGCATTTTATAAGGAACAGAAAATATGGGGAAGGGAAACAACAAAAAAGGCTCCCCGGCCCCCAATCCTGAGAATCAGGCAATAGTGGACACTGCACCAATATACATTAAGCGCCATTTAGAGAGCCTCATAGACCAATTCAGGAATGAAGTTATCAATGACCTGAAGCTAGAAGTATGCAGAATAGTTAGAGAAATGCTAAGCACCACCCAGGAAAAAGCAGATGGTGGAATGGAAGAACAGGAAAAGAGGGGAGAATTGCTTGATGGAGAAAACAGAGAAAGCATTGAGTATGTGAAGCAGGTGCAAAGGGACTATCAAGAAATTAAGAAGTCTACCCAAGACTGGCATAACAGCTTGAAAGAAACTAAGGACAGACTATCTGAATTGGAGGGCAGACTTGAAACATGGGAGAATGAAATGAAAAACTTCTTAAAAATAACAAAGAAACACACAGCAATAATACAAAGACAAGAAGATGATAAGAGGAGCCATAACTTAAGGATTAAGAACATAAAAGAAGAAGTAGGGACACAAACAAGTGAACTACAAAAGCTACTCACAGAAATAATCCAGGAGAATTTTCCTAATTTAGCAAAAGGTAAAGATACTCAAATGTATGAGGCATACAGGACCCCAGCTACCTACAACCCTAACAGAGAAACACCCAGGCATATAATAATAAAAATTCCAGAAATTCAATACAAGAACAGAATATTAAAAGCTGTAAGAGACAAGAAACAGATCACTTACAAGGGAATACCCATCAGAATTACAGCAGATTTCTCTTCACAAACCATCAAATCACGAAGAGCATGGGGAGAAATAATTCAAGCTTTGAAAGATAATAATCTCCAGCCAAGATTGAGATATCCTGCACAACTGTCCCTGGAAATTGATGGAAAAACGAGGTGCTTCCAGGATAAAGAGGAACTGGGGGAATTTGCAACCACCAATTCAACCCTACAGAAAGTATTGCAGGATATTCTAAAAAAAGAAAAATACAAAGAACCCAGAAATAGGGGCGGGGAGGCCACAACGAATGGAGCAGAGAACAAAATGAAGAAGACAAACTGACAGCTACTGACAGAAAAAGAGCTCAACAGAAATGAGACAGAGAAGATTGGAAGATAGGAACAGCTTTTTTTGGAAAAAAGGACATCTTAATAGGTAATGCTGATTTAGTACCATCTTGGTTTGAAGTCTCATCTAGCGTTTGTTTTTCTGTCTCCAATGGTCTAAACAGGTTGTATCTTATTGGATTTTGTTATATACGATAGTATAAGAAAAAACCTTTTAAAGACAAGGAGATTATACAGAGACCATTGTTCATTTTCTGTTAGTCGATTCTAAATACTCTATAATGCTGTCATTCTCTTAAATGGATTTACATTGTTTTGATATACTTAATGCTACAGTATATGAAGTTGTACTCAAGGACTTCAGGGAGGGAGTCAATATGGTAACTATTTTTGGGTCAGGATTATCTGGTGGTGAAACACTATTCTGCTTAAATGGTTATGTTTTGATCTGCCCTGTTTCGCTGTTATGCCCTCTTTTTTCTCAATCTCCACTCCATTATTTACTTTTTTATTTTTATCCATTTAATTAAAGGGAAAAATATAGCAGGATATAATATAGTAACCCACTTTGACTTTCTATTATCTCGATTTGAAGCCCTGTATTACTCTCACCATCTTGTTTTTGACTGAGGTTCCTCTATTCTGTTTTGCTGGATAGTATCAGGTTCGAAAGTTTAGGCATCAGCTGAGAAGATAATGAGATTCATTATAACGCCCATTCTCGTTGACTTTTATCTACTTTTGAAGACCTACAATATCTCCAATGTTTTGGTTTAGTTGGTTTTATTCTTTACGGTTTTGTTCAATTGTAGTACAACTAATGATATAGGCAATTCTATTAGAAATAGCGGGAGGCATTATGGTAACCATTGTTGATCACCTTGTATTATGTTTTTATATTATCTATTATGTCCACCCTTTTGACTTGACCGATTCTGTTCTGTTATGTCACATTTGCTTTTACTCTCTTCCAAAAAAAGCAATAAGAACCGTGGGAGCAATGAAACCCAAAATGTGTAATAGTCATGGTACAAAAGAGAGGAAAAGAAAGTGCTCTAAACTATATAACTGCATGTATATTTAAATGTATAAGATAGAAAATAATATCACAGAGTTTTATTGGATCATTGAACAGAACTGTTTGCAGTACCATTGTTGGAATGTCCACTCTACAAGCTTTAATTTTGTGACTTGAACAATTATTTCTAAGATGGCAATATGTAATCCATTAACTAGTGATTTCCTACTGTGCATTTTTTATTCTGTAAATCTGTATAACTTGTACCCCTTCACTGTTTTTTTTTTCTTTCTTTTCTTTTCTCCTTAAATAAAAAAAAATTTATTTTTTCATGTGAGTTTAAAAAATTAAAGTGGTTGTTTTATTTGGAGATTACTTTTTATCTTAGGTTTCAGAAATAAATGTTTACAAACTGTTTTTATTGTTTTCAGGCTTAATCTTACATACTTGGAATATGAAGAACTTTTCCAATCTATCAATGGGTAGGTTGACTTAATACAATGCATATGTGAATTGTTTTGACACAGTGTACGAATGTCTTATGTATTTATCTTCTTTCATAAAAAATATAAATATTCTATATATTTCCATATATAATTCACTATCTAGTGGGGTATGACAGATTTTTTTTAGTTCTTTTATAAGAAATATTTTGGTAGGAGAAGCAAAGGTTTTGTAAAGAATAGGAGACAATTTAGGAAATATATAATTGTTACATAGTGGATACATGCAGTTTTTTTAAACATGTGTAACATAATCTTTGTGTCTTTAATTTGCCTTAAGTATTTTGTAACCACTTTGGGTTGCAGAGTGTATTGCTTGTCTAAGGATGTTTATGAATTGGTTATGTTTCAGAATTAATTTGAATAAAACACAGAAAAAATATTTTTTATTTCTGTAGCTTTACCACAAAAGACTTGATTAGTTAGTTCATAGAAATGAACTTTCAGACATGTGAAAAATATTGTACATTGCTCCTAACTTAAGGAGAAAGAGTTCATTATTGCAATAAAAAGGCATTTTGACTATCGCAGGATCGCAGAGATCAAAAAATTTACAAATATTCTATAGTGAGGATATGAGGAAACAAACATGCTTTAATAATAGGGGTACAAATTATGCAGTTTTTTTAGAAGCAGTTTTCCAGTACCTATTAAAACTAGAAATATACATATTTTTGATCCAGAATCTTAAGAGGGAATTTTATTTTACAAATAGATTACTCTGTAAGCCAGGTGTGGTGATACATACCTGTAGTCTTAGCACTGTGGGAGGCTAAAAGGGAAGAGGATCACAGGTTCGAGCCCAGCCTGTGTAACTTCACAAGACCCTGTCTCAAAATAAATAAAATATAGCTGGGCCGTACCTCAGTGTGAAGGCCCTGGGATTACTCTCCAGTGACACACATACACACATCATCCTTGTATATAGAGTTAGGCCTTATTATAAGCATTATAGTATTGTCTGAAAAGATATCCAATTTAGAAAGTTACTTAGCAGTCTATCAGGTGGAAATTGGTTAAATGAAACAGACTAGAATGGAGCATGGTGGTACATGCCTGTAATCTCAGCCCTTGAGGCTGAGGTCGGAGGATTGTCATGAATATGAGACCATAGTGAGTTCAAGGTCAGTCTGGAATACACAGTGAGACTCTCTCAAAAACAAACAACAACAACAAAAAAAAAAAAAAAGGAAAAAAATGAAACAGACTATATACATGTTATAAAATACTTTTCAGTAGTTAAAAATAAGTTATATATAGATGCTGCTTTTCGTCATGAATGTTGTGAACAGTATTATTTTATGAAAAAAGTAAGACATGCTATGGTGCATAGAGTATACTTATTTTTGCTTTTTATTGTGATCTGGGTGAATGAGTAGGCATAGCATATTTCTACCAAATCAACATGACCAATTGTAGCAATAGTTGCTTCTCAATGGAAATGCAGTGGGAAGCAGTTGTCGTCGTCGTTGTCATCATCATCTTCTTCTTAACTGTAAACCTTTTTAAAAAAAGACGTTTGTTTTTATTAGTTGGAAAAAATGTTTATGTGTTGACTTTCTTTTTAAAGTATGTTCCAAAGTTATTTGTCTTCAGTTTAGTTTAGTTTAGTAGATACTTAAAGTTTAAAGTCAGTTCAATTTAGTAAAACATTTACAATGCCTGGTGTGTGCAAAGTACTTTAACAATGACAAAAATAAATACAGGCCAGAATATAATGGAAGAACCTCCCTCCTTCTTTCCCTCCCCCAAGATACATTTCTATTTGGAAAAGTATCTGCAGTGGTAATTTTATAATAGGAATAAATATTTTTGGTCGCCAGCTTGTCTAGATGTACCTGAGTCTTCATGAAAAGTAACCATGGTTCTTACTTGACCAAAGAATCTCTTTTAGATTTTCTCCTCCTATTTCCTGTGTTGTTGCTTCCTTTGACCTAAACTTTTCCACAGCACAGGCATTAGAAGCTAGACTCTGAAGTGTGGAAACCAGGAGACATAATGTACTATTTCCGAATGTCAGTAGAAAAAAAAGACAATAGTCCAATGCAACTGCAGAAACACCTTCAGTGACCTCCTGTTACTATACTATACTATTTTGTGGGGTAATACAGAGATGAAAAGACAGAGCTCTGTCTTTCCAGGAATTTGTCATCAGCGAGAGACACTCAGGTTTCAATGTATGAAAGAACTTTAGGGATAGATAAACCAAATTTGATTAGAAGCAACATTTTGCTGACTTTTAAAAACTTTTATTTTTATTAGTACATTTGTGGTACGTAATGATTACACTTGTCATGGGGAGTTGTTACATGTAGCTAACACATCTTAAATCTTTAATAGCTTCTTCCCCTTTCCTCCCCACTCCATCTCTTGATCCCCCTCACATTTCCAAATGTTTTATTTCTTTTTTCCTATTATTCTTCTTTTATTTTGCTTTTTATACACATTTTGGGCTCCATATACAAGCAAAATCATGAGATATTTAAACTTTGGTTCTGATTTACTTCATTTACCATTATGATCTCAAGGTGCATCCATTTTTCCTATAAGCAATTCATATTTATCTTATGGCAAAGTAGTATTCCACTATGCACGATTACCACATTTTCTTTGTCTCTCCATCTGTTGGTGACCATATAAGCCACTTCTAAGATACAGCTCTTACGAGTTGTGCTGCTGTAATCATGAGCATATATGTTTCATTTACTGTCTTTGACTCCTTTGGGACAGAATCAGAATTTTAAATGCTGACAATTTAAAGAGAAAGCTACTCATTAATCTTGATTAAGCCACTTTTAATTGTAGGCTTTTCTTCATGGGTTTATGGCAAATGTCTTTTTCATAGGTGTTAAATGTTTTATACTAGAGCAACCCTAATTGCAAGAGTTGCTTATCTTTGTCTCAGGCTAGTACCATGGCTTACTCATAGAAGATGCAGCAGAATGTATTTCTTGAATAAACAACAATTTCAAAAGCTATTGTTTATATCTTAAATACCTAAATATTTTCAAAAATGTATATTTAATTCAAATTTATTGACCAAGGAGGTCAAACCTTTTTGGATATCCATAATATCAATCCTTTTTGGATATGACATAACTGAATATCATGACATGTTAAAAATAACTTAAAGTTAATTTAAAAGGCTGGTGCAAAAATATGGTAATTATTTTTTTGAATTTCATCTTAATGGATCAAGTAAAATAAAATTAAATGTAGTTCACTTTTTAAATACTTTTCTGTAAGAGTAATTGTGCTCTTTTTAAAGATTTTCTAAGTGCTTATTTCTGAAGTGATCTCAGACTGATGATTAAGAAGCAAATACTTGTAGATATTTTAGTCTGAATACATTTTAATATTTGCTTTATTCTTTACAGTTAAAAATTATTTCAGAGTTAAAACTCACAATTATGCTCCTGCAGCTGATTTGATACAACTGATCATCTTAATTTAAATCTAGCTACAAGTAGTGGGGTAGTGGTGGTACAGACCTATGATCTCAGCCATTTGGGAATCTGAAGCAGAAGTATTACTTATCCAAGGCTAGTCTGGGCTCTATCTTTAAAAAAAATAAAATTATAAAATAGGACAGGGGAGATAGCTTAATGGTTGAACACTTGCCTAGCATGTCCAAGGCCTTAGGTTCAGCCCTTAGTACTAAAGGAAACAACAAAGCACAATAAAATATAACTAGCTACACCTGAAATTTTGTTACCATTTGATTTCTAACTTTGTAGCTTTGGACACTCTCCTGCGTCTTCACTATTTATTTACACTAATTTTCTTACATTGATGATCTTTGTTATATAAGAAGTTTTAAAAGAACATATACTAAAGTTACTAACTATAGTGTCTATGGTCAATAACCCTAAGATTATAAATTTTATTATTATTTTATTTAGTTTTCTAATTTTATTTAATGATCCTTAATGTATTAAGGAAAACTTTGAAGTGAAAAGATGATTTATTTTTTGTTTATATATGTGGGTAAAATTCATCTTATTTGATGTTTTAGAATCCTTTTTCCTGGAGGAGGTTCTAACATTGTAACATCAAATTATGCCAATATCTCCAAAATATTTTATGAGTTGTCCAAACAGGTGTGTATATCAGTAATTTCTTATTATTCCAGGGGAGTTTTATTAGTTTCTGTGAGAATAATTCTTTTTTTTAAGCATATGGTATTGTTTCCTTTATAGTTATTCTCATCTCATTCACCTAACCTATAATACACCATTCTCCAACAGTGATCGCTCCCGCCCAAGTTTCATTAGTTTTAGGCATCTTGGTATGAGCACATGCAGCTTAACTACTTCACAGTCCAGTTACATAAATGAAGGGTGACCAAAAATTGCATATTTTTTGCTAATTTTTATAAGATACTATAACAGGAAATATAAAACAATTTTATTAAATTTATTCAGTAATTGTTCTGCTCATGGTATATCTTAAAATGTTCCATATACAATGCAACATTATAGTCTGGACTATAGTCTTTAGTCACTTTCCGAATTCTTTGTGCATTATTGTCTTTCTTTGAATGATACATTTTATTCTGTCATGCAGACCTTTCTTTTTTTCCTGTGTGAGTTTATAATTTCAATAAAATGTCTACCCATTCAACACAATGGTGAAGGCATAGATAAGAACATCCTGCTTGGTGTATTGCTGTCCTGTACTTCTCAGTTATTTGGACTATTAGACATAATCTAAATTGTAGCTAACTTTTTGAATCCCCTTGTTTTGAATAAATAACAAATGAGTTCCATATGTTTGGTTAAGAAGGCACATAAAACTTTACAAAAATACTTTCTTCCTTGCTTTTTGATTACAGGATAGTTTGTTAAATGTTGGTCAACTCTGTATTTACCA